GACTGTTGTTATTGTGGAGTGTACAGCTCTTGTTTGCCACCGTGAAGGTCTTCTTCACGGGACTGCCTCGTCATCGTTCTGGTTTGGGCATTAGACGATTGTCTGGGCCCCAAGCACACACAGTGGCTGCGAAAAGTATCTGTGTCCGCAGCATTACAATTTGTATGTGTGTCATTGTGGCAATTGATTTGAATCGCGTGCATGCAACCTGATAAACCATCGTGAATGGTGTGAATATGGAATGGCTTATAGACGTATGGCCGTACTCGTGTATTTCGTCTTTTATGCCTTGTTACTGTTACGTGGCTTGTGCCCAGAATGGCTAATGAGCTGGCCAAAACGGGAATAAGCACTTGCTAATAATAGCTCTTTACTTGAAACACTCTTGGCAGGGCCCAACCGAAACATTCTTATTGAGTTAGCGGGGAATCGACAGATAATAATAATAGAATACTAATTAAAGTCAATTCTTCCAAATAAGGTTTTTAAAAATATTTATCTAAATTTTTTAAGTAAATAAGAAAAAACCCTTGTTTTATGTAACTTAAATAACTATGTTAATACTTTAGGTTTCCATTTGAAAGGTATTTTAAATAAAGTAAGAATATAAAAATAAACAAATTGGTATCTTGGTATCCATTTGAAAGGTAAATATTTTAAATAACCTAAAGATTATGAACATAAACAAATTTGTACCTTAATATAAATGCCACGATACGATGAAAAGGTTTTGAGTTCTGATCGATTTCGTTTGGAAAGTAATTAATACTGTCGCTTGCGTTCACCCCTACCACATTAACATTTTCTTAATTAATTAGCTGCATACGTTGCCTGTTTTGTTTGCAGGAATGGGATATCCCTCTCCCATTTGTATCCCATTAACAATGCTTTTAATTACCCCATTACAGCCGTTCCCCTAACCAACGAAATTGGCCAAGACAGAAGCTAACTGTTTTGCACAACGCAATTCGCACTAATTAAACATTATATGGTCGGTGACGAGTCCACCACACCCCGAAATGCCTAAATGCCAAAATGTCAGACAATAAAATCACTTGATGCTATAGAGAATTTCCGTCGAAAGTGATGGCATTCTATGTGAGAGTCGCCACTGACTCACAATAGTTGGATGCTTGTATTTTTAGAATTTCTAGTACATATCGCAAGACATAAAACTTATTAATTAACAACCGGCTGGTATCTTTCAGGAACATCTTAAAGCAATTGCTTGCAGTTTTTTAACTCGCTTTGTTTGGGTATTTCTGCGGCTTTTACCACTTTTTCGCCCGTCCGAGCATTATTGTTTCTCTTTTGTGATTAATGGGTGCGTTACCATTGGGATTTAGTGCGCGACTGACTTCGTCTAATACAACCCCCTTTCCTACCCTCCCAAAAACCCCCCATTTACCACACCCATGAAGCATCTCTCAAGCTTGTTCAATTACGCTCCAGTGTTTGAATTTTGCGCCACATTTTTAATGCCGAAACCATAAAAGTGGTCATGTGTATATGTGCAAAAATAAAAATTCAAAAAAAATTTGCTAAAATAAAAGCCTGCTTGGAAGACTAAAATAATGCTTGTTAGCAGCAGCAGCAGCAGCAGCTAGCGAACTATAAAGCGCATGGAGAGCCACAAAGAAAAAGAGCGGCTTTGTAGCTCTGAAATTGGTTTCGAATTTTGAAAAACTCACTTTGCCATGGCGGAATGTCTTAGTCACGCCACCTGCTGCAATCCACTTTGGAGTGCGGGTAAGTAGGTAGGAAGGTAAGGAAGGTACTAAACGCACTCCAAATTTATTTGGTAAACATTGGGCGAAGCGTGTGGAATAAAACCCAAACACGATAATTATGCCAAGCGCTGGGGGCAGAGATTGTCAAGGTCGTCTGTCTTACACGAATTAATCAGGTAGTTGTAAATCAGAATATTTTCATAATGATGCTCAGAAAATAATCATATTAAGAATGAAAATGAATGCTGTAATGATGGTAGGAAAGTACGATCGGCATTAATCGAGAAAATTAACAAATTTCATAAAATTTATATATATTTTCCAAATTTGCAAGGGCTTAGTATTGACTTTTTGACTTTTTTTATGATGACTACAATTTAATTTGGAATATTGTATTTATTTTGGGATATTAACACACAAATCAGTTTTATTTATCTGCAGGTGCCACTTGGTACCAACCATTTGTGCCACTAGCTTTATGCTCCGAAAAATTAAAGAGAGTCAGTACGGCTTCGCCCTTTAAGTATATCATAATGCAGGCTTATCGGAAACTACACATTGAACGCATTTCGAGTGGCCCCATGCATAGACGGGAAATGAAGCAAAGAGGCGATGAACAAAGCAAAGAACGGAAAGATACGGATGGCAGGGGATACGACTCCATCCACCGAGTAATATGAGACATTGCTAAGGGCACAAGAAACAAAATAATCAAAACCTTCGACGGATAAACGCTTGAGTGCAGGTCAGAAAGGAAGAAGGACGCCGCATCCCCTGGTGTCCTCGGCAAACACTTTACTGAGTCTACTCGAATTGTATCTCATGGATGGATGCGAACCCCCAGCGCTGACTCATTCCCTGATCCCCGAACAGGTTGGTCGACTCACACATCCACATCCGCACCCCTGCAGCCCCGCACACTCAGATACAAATGCAGGCCCACACAACTGCGCAAACATTGCGAAAAAACATCGACTTGGGTACGGGAACAACTACGCCCAAGCGGAATGAAATGCCCTGAAATTGCATGGAAATTAACAAAACAAAATGCAGTAAAATAAAATTAAAAGGTAAGGCTAGGCCCGAGGATTCGACATAAAGATACCTATTTTTAACCGCTTAGCGTGGGAGATTGAGTCTTTCGATTTAATCTTAAATTAATATTTAAGGGGAAACAAATCTTAGAAAACGAGAAAGTGAAGGCTTACTGTCGAGACACCAAATAAACAAATATATCTTAACTTGTTAACTTACGTTCAAGCAAAACAATTAAATGTATAGTAAATAAAAGAATATACAAATAATTTTAATATTGAAAACAAAGTTTTGTTAAAGAGTAAGTTACACGAATGCACCGACTTGGAAACCCCAGACATAAAAGTTTTCATAACTCAAGGTTAAAATACAATTGGTGAGAATTTGCATGAACTTAAATGCACATCGTACATTTCGCATTGTTCTCTGAACTGCATGTTCCAGTATACCCTTACGGAACCTCTCTTAAAACTGCTGGGTACTTGCACAACTTAAAAGCAAACTAAGAAACACAAGACGACGACAAAATTTACTTTAGACCAAGCTCAAGCTCAAGTCGGAGCTCCAACTTCGGTGCTCGAGTATACGACTCGATGCAATCGGCCAGCGAATTCGAACGAAAGGTACTTGAAAAAGTGCATGCGGGTTCATTTCCTGTTTGCTCTTGCCATTTTAGCTACACAGTAACAGAATATATATATATATATTTTTTTTATTTTGTTGGAAATGCAGATGATAAGAACGAATGGGCCACAATGCATACTATCTTTAAAAGTGAACACTTTGTTATATGTGCATCAGAAAAAGTAAAATATGTTTTGTTTCATTATATTTAAAAAAGAATTATTATAACATTAAAGAAATTAACATATTTATTCCATTATTAAGATGAAAATTACAATTGTCTAAGCAATCTGCATAACTCTAAATTTTTTTCTGTGTATCTTAGAGAGGCTTCTTGCCATTTTGCGATGTCAGCTGAACTCGACGACAAACATGCTCAAGCAGTGGCGATTTCCCCCCATTTTTTACCCCCCAACTGTGCAGTCTTAAAGGTTTTTGTTTTTTTCTGCTGCTGCTTTGGTTTTGCGGCTAAGCTTTTGCCTTCTTTTCTGCACTTTGGCCGGCTGAGCCGCTCTCTAATTTGCCTACAGCGTTTAACGATCATCGCATATTAGGTTTTTTGGCTTTACGTCAGTGCAAATTATATCCACGTAGGTTACGATTTTTGACACTTTTCCAGCGCCCCATGTAACGGTATTCGCAGCCATAATTTTATTTATCTTTTGACTACAGTTATTAATGATTGGATTTTGGCCAGAGCTGCGGGCCAGGAAAGTGTTTATCGTCGGATCGATTATCAATTACATATACACAATTTTCGGCCTTTTTGCCGTATTCATTGAGATTTATGATTAATTGACCGTTAGCGAGTTGTCATTTTGATTGCGATTTAATGCGGCGCTGAACTTTCAATTATTAGGTAAACCAAATTACCCGGCAAATAGCATAGTCGGTGAGGTAATAATCCTCGGGCTAGACAACTTAACGAAAATATTTTCGAAATTTAATCAGCATTGAATTTCAAATTAGTTATCAAAGAGTTTACTTAAATTGTTTCCCATGTTCCGTAGAACTTGTATCCCGAATAAATAATAAAAGTGTTAATTTTGCTTTTGTAGTCCAACTGGTTCTGACGACATATTTGCACAATCAATACATTTCATTGTTTTAATTAATTTCAGAAACACGCAAAAACCCAGCTTGATCAAATAATGTTTACATTTTTCTATTGTTCTGAATCATAAATATTTACCAATGTGTGTATATGTATATTATATATATTAAATACAAGTCCAAAATTGTTGTTTTTGGACTTCTGACTCAAGATAATTTGTAATTAAATTGAATATTGTTATTTACATAAATATAGTTTTAATCATTCAATGAATTAAAAATTTGTTTATTATATTTTGTCTACAAATATAAAAAATTTACTGGTACTTTCAGAAAATTATTATTAAAAGCTATTTAACAATTTCATTTAAATTCAATTTTTAATTTTATAGCATTTTTTTTAGAAAAAATCTAAGTATAATCTTTGGAACCCAAGATTTGATATATATATTCCAACAGATTCTGGCCAACAATATATACAGCATATATAAATTTATATATTTTTTTTACTACACAAGATCACCAAGACCCTTGATATTGTACATCCCACCAACTCACCTTTTGGAATTATTTGTGCGATTCTACGCCGGATTTTTAAAGGTGCCTCGTACACAGCAGTCAAATTGGACCAATTGGGACAGAGTTACCAACTGGCGTGCTGATCTCGTTAGAATCTAAGCTCGTTTCTTTCCGTGTTTTTCGGGTTTTCAGGTGGGAGACGAAGCGAGACGCGGGCTGGCACTTGGTATGGGTATGGGTACGGGTATGGGTATAGATCTAGGTATAGGTATAGGTACTAGGCAGGGTACTTGTTGCTCGGCCGGACCACGAACCCAAACCCAAACCAAAACCAAGACCTCTGATCTGGACGGCGGCCAGAAAATGGAAACGCGATTAGAGGCAGAGGCAAGCGAAAAGGGTACACAAAAAAGATGCAGAGCCAGCAGCACGAAATAAAAAAACGAAAACAATGCCAGAAAAAATCAACATGCACACACTGACACCAAGAATATGTATCTTAAAACTGGTTTAAGATTTGTCGGGGATTTGTTGGCTCGGCCGCATCGAGTGTGTGTCTATGGGAGTAGTGCCGCTGTGTGTTTGTACTTTCCAATAACAAATCCAACTTCTTGTTTAACTCTTTGAAAACACACACGGATATCATTTCCATACAGATTCTTATTCCGAAACAACTGTTGCGCCTCAGTGGGAGGCAGAATCCAACGAGACCCGTAGAACTCAAGGGTATGCGGCACTCACATTCCAATTATAACTTGCAATGGTACTATACTATTTAATTTTGGTTTTATTTTATTATAAATACCGGCGAGCACAAGACCCGATCGCCGTTTCAAAAACATTCAATTCCAAACACCGACAACGGAGCGCACACACGAACCACCCGCGAAATACAAACTGAAACTACACTAAATACTGGCTAGAGATGGTAAGACACTTGGCGAATAGAGATGAGCGCGTGACTGAATTTTGACGGTAATTTACGCACGAAGAGCAAAATTCTGTCGTGACTACAGCTAGCGATGAAAATATTTAAATTATAAATTGTGTCGTGTTTGTGTGTTTATTTTCTCGTTATCTCGTGTTAACTATGTTTGTTTTTATTAGTTTTATTCATTAGTTTCCTTCACTCTCATATTTTTGTTAATTAATACAACAAAAAGTTAAAAAAAACAAAAGAAAACAATACGTGTAATATATAATGAAAGTAAAAATTATAATTTTAAAGTATTTTAATTAAGAGCACCAAACTATAATTGAAAAAAACTTAAGTAGTTATTTAAACGATTGTTTTATTTATATTTGCATTATAATTTTTGTATTAAACTCTATGTACCACGGTATGTAGAATAGCCAAAGGGATTGAGTAATAGGGGAATATGATAGTGTTGATTTTCTCTGCAGTCCACAATGATGTCAATTGCTGGATACAGAGTCTTCACATTGCGCTCTGCAAAATAGGCACCCACATGAAAGGTAAGCTTGTAGATTCCACTGGGAAATTGACCAGGCTCCAGGAGCAGGCAGCGACCATCGGCATCAGTCTGGGCCGCCCGGAGTGCTCTCCACTCCTGGATCTCGTCCAGCGAGGAAACTGTTACTCTGACATTGGCAGCCGCTTTTCCCACTGAGGTGTCCAATATGTGTGTGGAAAATTTACGCGCGTCCATTCTGAAGGCAACTTCTAGACTGATGAAGATCGGAGGTATATCTGGAGATAGCTAAATCTTTGATTGCACTAAGCTGCGAAAAGTTCTGATAGCGAAAAGATAAGAAAATCTCGCTGCATCCATAAATCAACTCCGCTTAACAGCAAATTCGGTCTTGTTTTCAAAATAAATAAATCTCTCGTTAAAGTGAACAAACTTGTTAAAAAGTAACCTACAAATAAAAAAAATGGCTTAAATAATTAAAGGTTAATATATAAGAAAAAAACAATTTTGTTTTAAGGCTATTTTACATTTTAGTATATTTTCTTGAAACACTGTTAATATTGAAATGATTTCGCTTCGGTCACACTGCCTTTCTCGTTTGAAACTGCACGTGTTGACTATTGCGTTTAGTGGGGTAATCTTTGTTTTACAATTTAAATAATGGCAGAGGAAGGACCACCGGAGGCGAGCATTGACTTTGTGCCCGCACTGTGCTTCGTGCCACGGGGCGTGGCCAAGGACAGGCCCGACAAGATCGTGCTGACGCAGGCGGAGCTGGCGAGGATCATTGGCGATACGCAGCAGGAGTTGGACGAGGAGAGCGATGACGAGGCGGAGGAGGGCGACGGTGACACAGCTGACGGCGATGACATGGATGTGGACGACCATGTGGATGCCAACAGTGAGAACAGAAATCCTCGTGATGAGTTTCAGTTCCAGGAGTACGACAACGAGGAGAACGCCACTGTCACCAGTCTCGCTAACATCGTGGATGCCGGCGAGCAAATTCCCGATGAGGACGAGGATTCCGAGGCCGAGGATGAGGTTATCAAGCCCAGCGACAACCTGATTCTGGTGGGCCACGTCCAAGACGACGCCGCCTCCATGGAGGTGTGGGTGTTCAACCAGGAGGAGGAGGCCCTCTACACGCACCACGACTTCCTGCTGCCCAGCTTCCCGCTCTGCATCGAGTGGATGAACCACGATGCGGGCAGCGACAAGGCGGGCAACATGTGCGCCATCGGCTGCATGGACCCCATCATCACCATCTGGGACCTGGATATTCAGGACTCCATTGAGCCCACTTTCAAGCTGGGCTCCAAGGGCAGCCGCAAGCAGAACAAGGAGCAGTATGGACACAAGGACGCGGTGCTGGATCTCTCGTGGAACACCAACTTCGAGCACATTCTGGCCAGCGGGTCCGTGGACCAGACCGTGATACTCTGGGACATGGACGAGGGCCAACCACATACGACCATCACAGCCTTCGGCGAGAAGGTGCAGTCGCTGGAGTTCCATCCGCAGGAGGCCCAGAGCATACTCACCGGCTGTGCCGATGGATATGTGAGATTGTTCGACTGCCGCGACTCCGACGCGGTGAACTCGTCCAGCATCCAGTGGAAGGTCGATGGCGAGGTGGAGAAAGTGCTGTGGCATCCCACCCAGAGCGACTACTTCATCGTGGGCACCAACGATGGCAGCCTGCACTACGCCGACAAGCGATCGCCCGACCAGGTGCTGTGGTCCCTGAAGGCCCACAACGAGGAGATCTCCGGGGTGTGCTTCAACAGCCAGATGCCCAACCTGCTGACCTCCATCTCCACGGAGGGCACCCTCAAGGTGTGGAACTTCAACGGCACGGAGGCCAAGCACGTCTATGAGCACGAGTTCAACATGGGTCGTCTGCAGTGCATGCGCCAGTGTCCGGAGGATCCCTACACCCTGGCCTTTGGCGGGGAGAAGCCGCCGCGCTGTGCGATATTCAACATCAAGAACTCAGTGGCCGTGCGCCGGACGTTCGGCCTGGCCGATGCGGAGTAGGTTATTCCTCCTATTCCAGTTGCGTATTCATTGTATGACTTTTAAATAAATATGAACTATATATAAGGATCCAAATCAGCGACTTTTCCTCTCAATTAAAATTTATTGATAAGTTATGCATACACAAACTTTTGGGCTTAAAAATCTAAGACATTCCAGGGCACAATGGATTACAAAACTTTAATCCTAAACATTTCGGGAATTACTAAAGCCTACTTTACGTATACCGACTAAGCTAACCTGTGATCCTAACTCTTAAAGAGACCCACGCACATGAGAAGATTGCGACGCGTAAAGTGCAGGGTGACGAACGGCGAGTTCTTGCTGGGGAAGGTGCGCATCAGGTAGACATCCTCGTCGTTCTCGTCCTGGTGGTGCGACACAGTAATGTGATTGCTGATATAGTCCTCGGTGACCTTGTGGAAGTCCCACAGAGTCAGGTTGTTATCCAAGCCAGCTGCCGCCAAGACAGTTCCATCGCGACTAAAGGTGATCGTGGACACGGTGCTGGTGTGCCTTAGCAGGGTGGTGACCAGTGCTCCGCTGGACAAATCCCAGATAATAATATTGTGGTCCACCGATCCCGAGGCCAAGTACCGTCCGCAGGCGGAAAAGGCCAGCGAAGTCACCGATCCCTTGTGTCCCGTCATTAGGCGCACCGACTGACCGGTCATGTTGTCCCACAGGCGCACCGTACGATCGCTCGACCCGGTGGCTACGTAATTGGAATTGGGATGAAATTGCACGCAATCCACGTCCGAGAGATGGCCCACAAAGACTCGCAGCGCTTGGTTGGAGTCCGTGGCCCACAGGCGGGCAGTTTTGTCATAAGAGCAAGAGACAAAGTAGTAGCCGTGCGGCGCAAAGCGCACATCCCACACCGGATAAACGTGCCCACGGTACGTGACCACACAGGACCAGGTGAGCAGGGACCACAATCTTATGGTGCTGTCCTCGGAGCAGGAGAGCAGCAGGTTCATCTCGGGGGCAAAGGCACAGCGGTACACGGGTCCGGTGTGGCCCAGAAAACTTCTGGTCACCTCTCCGCTTCGGTCGTCCAACATACGCACATTGATGTCCGCCGACTCCTTGTCCAGCTCCCGCAACGCATCTGCATCTTTAAGGGCACGCAGTTTGGCGGGCGTCAAAGACCATATCCTCACACTGGAGTCTCCAAATCCGCAGGCCAGCATGGTGGAATCGTCTGAGATCTCGGCACAAGTGACGCCCTGATGAGAGTTGAGCACCGTGTAAAAGACCGCGGAGGGCAGTTGATCCTTGCTGAGGGCCAGACGCTTGCTCGCTTCCCTGAGGGCCTTGAGCTTTAGTAACTTATCCGAATCCTTCAGTTCCGGCAGGGGAATTCTATCAATGGAGGGGGCATTCGGATCCGATTTCGATTTTTTTGACAGCAGCGGATCCTTTTTGGGCTTTTTCTTCTTGGGGCGATCCGGAGCATCCGGATCGTCGTCCTCCTCCTCCGGCGCCGGCGCTGGGGTGGTCAGGGTCTGGAAGTCCACCTCCTTGAGCAGGCCATAGTACACCCGCATCTTGTTGTCCTGCCTCTTGGCCTCGCCAATGTGAGAGCCCGCTGTGGCAACGCACTGAAGCTTGTTGCGCGCCATGCCCTCGTAGGTATCGAAGTGCAAGTACTTGGATACAATGTCCGCGACCACCTCCTGCCGGCGATCCTGGATGTGGCGCTTGAACAGCGAATGCGAGTCCCTGGACATGCGGATCACAAACTTATCTTGCTCCATGGCGGCCACCAGGTCGTTCTCCAGCAGCTCCTCCGGCTTGGACAGGAGCAGCAGATTGAATAGCCCCTCTATGTAGTAGCCATCGAGATCGGATTTGTACTTCTCAATGAAGTCTTTGCCCTTTTCCCTCAGTCCGCTGGCGAGCATCTTGAAGTAGATCTGCACCAGGATGGGGTACAGGACCATGGACAACTCGTGCTTGTATATGTCCAGGGAGTCCTCCACAAAGGTGCGCAGCTCCATGTAGGCCTGCTCGTAGTGCTGGGCATCGAAGCTATCGTCGCCGATGAACTTGGCCAGCGCCTCCGCGGTATTGGCCTCCGTCACCGCCGATGGCTTGTGATCCTGCTGCGGAACCGGAGTATGCTTCTGCTCCCGGCTGTCATCTCCAAGTCCCAGAGCCGCGCCGAGCACCTTCTGCACATCACTTTCGCTGATCTCAGACAAATCCGCGCTGCTCACATTGGCCTCCTGGCAGAGCAGCTCCTCCGTGCTCTTCAGCTGGTACTTCTTGATGAGTTTCAGCAGGCAGAGCAACTCCCGCTTGTCGTGGGGCGTTTGAGTCCCGTTCCCGCCGTTGATATTACTCATTTCCAGACTCATTTTCGCGGAAAATAAACACGGGGATCTGTACTATTTTGTTTTGCGTGGCTGTGTGACCAGGTCTGAAATGGCCAAAAATACTACGACGCATTGCAGAGTATACTAAAACATACTGAATGCGCCAATAGGTACAGTAAACTATAGTCGGAAGAAATTGGATCAAATAACATTTAAATTTTTTCAAAACTAGTTTTGTATTTTGTACCTTAATTTAACAAAAAACAAAAAAAACATCCATATCTTTAATATATACAACACGTTTACTTTAATTCATTACAAGGGAGACTTTACTGTAGTTCTTATAGCCGGTGCAGGGCTGCCAAAATATTTTTGGTATTTTCTGCGTATTTTTGTTACCTGAACCAAAACATTCGTAATGAAGAGGAGAGTAATCATCAAAAAGGTAAAATCCATCGTAACTGGCCAAATAAATTGGCTAAATCTCCTTTTCGAAGGTTAATTATATGCTGTGCATTAACTGGATTGACTTGCCATTGCTTATTTCAGTGTATTTGTCTGGCGCCCACCCCCCAGCTCCTTGAACTTTGACACCGCCTTTCGAAATTAACCCTTGTACTCGTGCTTTCTGTTGTGTTTGTCCATATTTTTGTGAAAAATGAATGAAAATGATGCTGCGGTAGGTCAACAACTAATATATTAACCCCATTAGCTAACTCCTGTTTGCTTTCCGCAGAAAAAGGTCGCGGGCAAGCGGAATTCGGTGTCGTTCGATCAACAGGATCCTGGCAAGCCGAGATTCAGCTTTTCCGGGCGCGTCCTAGAGCTAATCGAGGGTTACAATTCCGCCGTTCAGCTGCTGGCGCCCAAGTGGCCCTGGTTCCTCTACCCCGGATATCTGACATACGCCGTATACTGGCGCTACGCCAAATATTACAAGGGCAAGTTGCAGCTGACCCCCATTCCGAATCGCCTCTACGATCTGCTGATCAAGAACGAGCTGATCAAGTCGGAGCACCTGGTGTTCGCCAGTCGGGAGGTGTACGACACCTATGCCGAGTCGCCGGACGTCAACTTTGTCAACTTGGTCATCCGAGGGGGAAGGGAAAAGGTCAGTAAACCCCTGGCTGGCGATGGAGGGTCCACGCCACAAACGGTCATCAAGCAAATGCTCCAGGAGGCCCCACACACCATTGTAGCCCAGATTCTCCCGGTGGCCCAGTGTCAACCCAATTGTCTGTATGTCCAGGTGGGTCATTCTTAAATGTTATATTAGCTTGTTTTGAGAGTCTGAAATCCATATAACCCATTAGATTAAACAAAAATCTTAATGATAAAATTAATTTTCAAATACCAATTCAGGAAAACTTCTATGGCAACATACTGGACCGCTTTCGAGTCCGCTCCAACTGTTGGGTGCAACTAGAGCACTTTGCTGATGAGCAGACCATACCAGGCATAGCCACCAAAGCTCATGTGTACTTGCTGTCGGATCCGCATGAGTTACCCGCCGAACTGACGGAGCTCATCCTGAGCAACTACTTCAACACCCCGCGACTCCTGCATCGTGGCCATATCTACCGCATCGAGGTGAACGCCGAGCTATTGGGCACTGCCACCTATGCGCACTATTACCTGATATTCGCCAATCTGCGCCACGTGCACCTAAAGTGCGTTCACCTGGAGACGAAGGGCAGCGAGTTCGAGCTGCAGGCGGTGGTGGCCAAGAACTTCAGCAACCTGGTTCAAGTGCCGTCAGTTCACAGTTTCCTGCCTCGCCAATTGCTCGACAACGTGGCCATCGTGGAGAACTACCCGAGTGGTCTGCGAAAGCCTTACCAACTGCTGCGCTCCTCGGTGGACGCCTTTCTGCCCAAGAAGTCCGCCTGTCTGTCATCCAAGCACATCTTCCCGGTTTTCTTGCTGCAGGGCGAACGTGGGTCCGGCAAATCGAAGCTCGTTAATGCAGTAGCCCAGGAGTTGGGCATGCATGTTTACGGTGCGGACTGCGCGGAGATCGTTTCACAGGTTCCATCGCACACGGAGATGAAGCTAAAGGCGGTATTTGCCAAGAGCCAAGTCAGCGAGCCGCTCTTGATATGTTTCCATAACTTCGAGGTGGGTGGTATTCAATCAACGTAGTTAAAATATCAAATATATATATATTTGCATTACAGATATTTGGCATAGACAACGAGGGCAATGAGGACCTGCGTCTGCTTTCGGCCTTCCATGTGCAGGTTCAAGAGCTCTTTAACCGGGATCGGAAGCACCCAATTGTGGTGGTGGCTTTGACCAGCGACAGGCACCTTAAGCCCATGATTCAAGGTCTCTTCCTGGAGATTATAAGCATTGAGATGCCCAGCAAGGATGAGCGGTTCGAGATCCTTCGTTGGATGCATGTGCGCGAGACTTTCAATGATGTTATCTACAATCAAAAGGCCATCGATATGTTGCCCCTGTTTTCGCGGGAAAATCAGTCGCAGTTCATGTCGCGCGTGTCTTCGAATTGGAGGGAAACCCTTAATGTGCTGCAGGAAGTGGCCTCCAAGTCGCAGGGCTTTCTGCTGGGCGACCTGCAGTTGCTCTACGACAGTGCCGTTCGCCTGAAGATACGGAATCGGTTGAGTAGGAAAACGCTAGACATGTCACACTTCGCCAAGAACCTAACCGACATGCAGAGTTCCTTCGCCGATAGCTTGGGTGCGCCGAAGGTGCCAAAGGTCTATTGGTCGGATATCGGTGGTCTGGCAAAGCTCAAGGACGAGATCCAGAGCAGCATTGGCCTGCCGCTCAAGCATGTCCATCTAATGGGCAAGAACCTGAGGAGATCGGGCATCCTGCTCTACGGACCCCCGGGAACAGGCAAAACCCTGGTGGCCAAGGCTGTGGCCACCGAGTGCAACCTGAGCTTCCTGTCCGTGCAGGGCCCAGAACTGCTCAACATGTACGTGGGCCAGAGCGAGCAGAATGTTCGCGAGGTCTTCTCCCGTGCGCGTTCTGCGGCACCGTGTGTGCTCTTCCTGGACGAACTGGACTCCCTGGCTCCCAATCGCGGTGTGGCTGGTGATTCTGGAGGCGTTATGGATCGGGTGGTGTCACAACTTCTGGCCGAGATGGACGGCATGAGCGATGGCGACACCAGCAAGCCCATCTTCATACTGGCCGCCACCAATCGGCCGGATCTTATTGACCCCGCCCTTTTGCGCCCCGGTCGTTTCGACAAGCTTTTCTACGTTGGACCCTGCTCCACGGCCGACGACAAGGCAGCGGTGCTACGTGCCCAGACCCAGCGATTCGCCCTAGAAGCCGGCGTGGACATGGACCAGATTGCCGAGCGCTTGAAGAATGAAATGAGCGGAGCAGATCTGTACTCCATCTGCTCGAATGCCTGGCTCTCGGCTGTGAGACGCATCATAGACAGACACTTAAGTGGAGCCATTACAGAGAAGGAACTGCTGCCGGAGAACGTGATTGTGGAGGCGGAGGACTTCACCAAGTCGTTCAACAAGTTTGTGCCCTCGATAAGCGCTAAGGATCTGGAGTACTTTAACAACCTTAAGGCGTCGTACAGTGTCTGAAGTGCCCGGCGATGGTTAACTAGTTCTAAGAGTGAGTTTTCTACAGACATTTTACGTTGTTTTTCAATAAACCCGTTGATAGTTCACAATTCCCAGCGAGCTTTCACTCGTTCAAGCCATTTGTAAGTGAAACCCCCGCAAGAAATAGGAAACCGAATGGTGAGAATTGGACGTTGAGCGCATCGGAACCTGCAGGAGGTACGTGATGACGATTAACCTTAGCCCTTCCTAAATGAAAGTGTGATCTTATCACCTCCGGCAGCGGCTACCCCCCATGCAGAGATCCCTATTGCGTCTTCTTATTAATATGATCTCTGCGCTGATCTGTGCTCTGTAATCTCGGTATGATGAAGGGGTCCCTTATCAGTTGCAGCCGGCAGACAGCGCGCTTATCGCGATTCCTCGGTTTATGGACCCCGCCAGGCAAAAGCTGTTGATGCTGGCCCCTAATCTCAGTGGGTTTAGTTCGAATCTGGGAGGTGCGGCGAGAGGTGTTGCCAAACATTGAACATTTCCATTCCCCTGTTACGTAACAGTCATGGCTCTGGTGTGTGTGGAGGACTTTGAGAAGAAGGCCGCTGGTCAGTTGGAGAAGAATGCTTTGGACTACTACCGCAGTGGAGCCGGTGAGCAGTTCACCTTGGCACTGAACCGCGAGGCATTCCGCCGGCTGCGTCTGCGTCCGCGTTGCCTGAGAGATGTCTCCCACTTGGACGTCAGCTGCAAGATCTTCGGGGAGCAGATGAAGTGGCCACTGGGCATTGCCCCCACTGCGATGCAGAAAATGGCACATCCGGATGGCGAGATCGGAAATGCCAGGGCGGCCGGAAAAGCTGGCTCCATCTTTATACTCAGCACCCTGTCTACCACTTCGCTGGAGGATCTGGCTGTCGGTGCGCCGGACACCGTGAAGTGGTTTCAGCTTTACATCTACAAGGATCGGTAAGAGGGGACGCCTATATATATGTTTTTTATATCTTTTAATCACCTTTGTTTTAGTACCATAACAGAAAATCTTGTGCGCCGCGCCGAGAAGGCCAACTTCAAAGCCCTCGTCCTGACCATCGATGCCCCCATCTTTGGACACCGTCGTGCCGATGTGCGCAACAACTTTAGCCTGCCATCGCACCTGACCCTGGCCAATTTCCAGGGCGTAAAGGCCACCGGAGTGGGTAGCGCCACCATGGGCGCCTCTGGCATTAATGAGTATGTTTCCAGCCAGTTCGATCCCACCATCACCTGGAAGGATATTGCCTGGCTAAAGAGCATTACCCAGCTACCCATTGTGGTGAAGGGTGTGCTGACTGCCGAGGATGCCGTGTTGGCCAGGGAGTTTGGATGCGCCGGACTCATTGTGTCCAACCACGGAGCACGGCAGATCGACACGGTTCCGGCCTCGATCGAAGCTCTGCCGGAGATTGTGAAAGCCGTGGGTGAGGATCTGGTGGTTATGCTGGACGGAGGCATCATGCAGGGCAACGACATCTTCAAGGCCCTGGCTCTGGGAGCAAAGACCGTATTCGTGGGTCGTCCGGCTGTCTGGGCTCTGGCCTACAATGGCGAGAAGGGCGTGGAGGAGATGCTGAAAGTGCTGAAGAAGGATTTCGAGATCACAATGGCGCTGATAGGTTGCCAAACTCTCAAGGACATCCAATCCTCAATGGTTGTTCATGAGTGGCAATATGCCAAGCTATAAACATATACTTTATAGTTCTTATCGTTAAAACACAATAAAGTCTTCAATAAAGATAAACTTAAAAAAGACACGAGAGATAATATTCTGATTATTATTTTATTTGTTAATTCATAAAACTCTATACGGTCATTGTCTGAACTTAAATATGTTAAAACTATAAACTAATTAGTCTGTTATGACTAATTATTGCCCATTTGTTCAACTACTTAATAGAAAAAGGTTTCGAAAAACAAATAAATCGTTAACTTTGTTCAATAAAACAGTTATATGACTATGGCTACAAATGTAATTCTACATCCTTTTTTTAATAGAGATAACTAAGGAAGCTATCATTTTTAATAACCCTATTTAATTTATTACAATTAAATTCAAACTTGCAAAGTTAAATTAATAACGGTACTTAATCAAAACATCGATAACAATTCTTATCGATAAGCTGGTCAACTATCGGTTAACTTCCATCCCTTCGTGGCATGTATACGAGAAGAAAATTAACAAAAAGCGAAGTCCATTAAAATACAATGCTGGAGGGCTGGTACTGCAGATCCCTGGCCAACCAGGAAGAGGGCGCCATCAAGGACGAGCCACCGAGTGACGAGGAACCGCCACCGCCTGCCAGAGATCGCGTCCCGGCAAATTCCCGCGGAGCAGCACTCGCTAGCTCGTCCTCCGTTTCCGCGGGATTAGGAGCCAACGAGACGGACTTCAAGGAGCGCTACAAGACCCTGAAGAAAAAGCTGAAGTTCCTCATCTATGTAAATATCTAAAGTTGAACTTGGCAACGGCAAGTCACAGCTTTTTGTGTTTACAGGAGAACGAGTACTTCCAGGATCTATTGCACACGAACCAACGACGCCTGTTGAAGGTTTCGCGGGATCGCACCTTCCTGCTGGACCGCCTGCTGCTGTACGAGAAGCCGGCCAAAGACTCCAGCGACACCGATGCCACCGACAGCTCCGACTCGGAGCCTGCGTCCACGTCCGGAGCTGCAGGAGGATCGCAGACACCAAAGGACGCCATTCGGCGGAAGCACAAGGACAAGGGGGCACCTGGAACTCCGGGAGTGCCCCCGCACATGACCACTGTGGGTGCCACACGAGGACGAAGGCGCAAAGTACTGACCGGCATGTTGCCAACCAACCATGGAATCCACACAGCTGCTACTCCTGCTCCCAAAAGACAGCTCACCGCCACAGTTTCCCCTTCGCAGCAGCAGCTCCAACTACAGACTGCACCCAAAGACGTGTCGCCTGGCTTGAGTCAAGCGGAGATTGCTCGCCAGCTTCAGGAGCGACGACCGACGCCCCTTGAGCTCATGAGTCCGGAGTGCACCTCGGCCACCGTGCCCACCACAATGCTCAGCGATGAAAGTCCCTCCAAGTGGTAACTAAAAATTGTTGATTTCATATGTATTTATTTAAATTTATGTGTTTTTTTAGCTATCCCAATGAAAGCCTGCAGCATCTGATGGAGGACGATTCGCATTCGCATGAGGTGGCCGCCGAGGAGTGCGTGCCCATGGAGTACACCAGTTAATATTTACACAAAGCTATTTGCTACTTTGTCTTAGCTAATAAACTAACACGAACCACATTTCTAAGACTTTAATGATGTTAAAATACCTGGCGCAATCCACAAGTGTGTCTTATAGGGAAATTTCCAGGATTAAAGCATCTGACATCTATTGAGGATCCCTAAAGACAGCATTGAACCCGGAAATAGAAATGTTCCCTTTTTCTTTAGCTAATTCATATTCCGCCGCGTATTTCGGTTAAATATAAACTCGAGGTTTTTTCTTTAAATACGATTTTCTTTAGGTTAATCAAATACAAAATTATTAAATTTCCTCAAAAATCGAAATTCCATTTATAGTACATAATCATTTAAAATTTTAGGCGCAGACTAAACTACTTCGTCGTTTTGATAGTAATCTCAGTCCTGCTAAATTGGTCAACATATAAATATACGTTTAAACTATAATTGTTTTTATTTGACATTCATAAAAAACTACTTTACTTTTATCATTTAATTTCTTAGGTGGCAGTCTTCGTTGTTAAAAAATGGTGTCGTAAAATTTAATTAAATTATATAAACCTAAATAATTAAAGAAAAGGAAATGTGTAAAGGCAAAGAGTCTTTGCAGGAATTAAATGCATTTGATTTAAAAAAGCCATTAAAAACAAATAAAATTAGATAAGAAAAATAAATATTTTAAATACGTCTAGAAATTATGAAAATTATATAGTAGAGAATTCCAGTGCGCCAAATGGACGCGTTATCGATAGGCGCTGCCAATCGGCTGGGAGGGCAGCCCTGTTTTGCTGGGCTGCCAACCCGGTCGAGCAAAAACCCAATGCGAAACAGCCCTGTCTTGCGAAATTATTTCGACGCGACGCGAGTGGAGAAAAACAATCCAATTTTTTGTGAAATCGAGATTTACCGTGGCCAGTTAGCAGTTAATCCGTTAAGAAGGACACCAGGCGAAACGGGCGCCACCAGATGAGCAGCACGTGAACGATGGCGTTGAACAAGAGGAATAGCTCGCACTCGGACGCAGTTTCGGGCTCCGAGGTGGACTACAAGTTTTCGTGTCGCTGCTGCTTGAAAACGGACGCGGAGTACCTAAAACTAGACTCGGTGGCGATGGCGCGCAGCCTTGATCCCGCGGATGCGGGGGACAAGATCCCGCTCCTTCGATGCCTGCTCTTCTGCGTGGGCGCCGAAAATGCTCCGGAGCTTCCGCAGTTAATCTGCATTGAGTGTAGCAAGAGCCTGCAGGTGGCCTACTACTTCCTGAAGAATGCACTGCGTGCTCATGAGATTCTGTGCAGGAAACTGTGCTCCAAGGGTCAGAGAAGACCTAATGGCGCCTTGGGCCAGGAGCCGGAAAAGGGGCCGGCAAAGCCAGTCGCTAAAGAGGTGTGTTTGGTTCAACGGGTTCATAGTTCCCAGCCTGCATTACCCACCTTTTTTTCCATTTTAGCCAGAGACACTAAAGACGATGCGGCACGAGTGCCAGGTGTGCGGAGTGGTGGTCTACAATCGTCTAGAGCTTAAGCAGCACATACGCCAGCATGCAGGTACAGGTTTCGCCTAAAACAAACAGTGTTTCACCTAACAGCATGGTATTCATATTGCAGAGGGCATCTCTTACAACTGCAAGTTGTGCATCTTCACCACGCTGAAACAGCGCGTTCTACTGGAACACTATGTGACCTTTCACGGTCTGTCCATTGGCCAGGCGGACGAACATATTAAGTCGAAGGAACCGCCAGCGCCCATTAACGAAGATCCCAAACCGGTGTGCACGCTGGAGGACATGGAATTGCTGATACCCACTGTGCTGGCCCCCGATGACTACGTGCAGCCACAGCCGCAGATCGATGCCGACCAGCTGCGGGACATCGAGCAGCAGCTGGCCGTCAGCATGGGTGAGGCGGGGCCCGGAGTGGACACCCTCACCTCCACCTTGCCACCCATGGATACGCCCAATGTGAGCATCGGCACCGAGTACCTCGTCCTGCCCGATGGCACACTGCAGCAGGTCAACGGAAGCGGTGGGTCCACCTACCTGGGAGTAAGATCTTAAGAATGTACACTCATATTGATCCTTTGCAGGCGTGGTCATTGAGTATATTGACGATAGCAAGCCGAACAACCCCTCCAATGTTAATATTAGCCTGCAAAAGCTTCTGTCCGGCGATGACGCAAACGAGCCAATGGATATCGATGTCAACGAGCTAATCGTGGAGGAAGTAATGCCGCAGATAAGAGGTAAGATTTTTTTGAAAGACTTGAATCACCCTACTACAGTCTCTTATACGATTCCAGTCAAGCCAAAGCCAACCGTTGGCGGATCTCACATCTACAAGCACAAGTGCAAGCTGTGTCCCAAAACATTCTCAACAATTCCGCGTTTAAAATCTCACCAGTTGACCCATAGCAGTTAGTTCATTCCTCCTAGATGTTCGTTTTGTTATACCTACTAATCTCTGTCCCTCTGCTCCGAATAGATTTGCCCAAGTTCTTCTGTGACCAGTGCGATTTCTACTCACTGCGGAGCGCCGATCTCATCCAGCACTACAAAATGGTTCACCATCGGTTGGATGAGAACGGAAAGATCATCAAGGACCCGGCGCCGGTGGAGCAGACCGGCGTGTTCTCGTGCGACATGTGTCTCTTTGAGACGCGCACGCCCACACAGCTGAGGAATCACTACACCGAATCCCACACAATCCAGCCCACGGAGGTGCAGCTGCGTCCCAGCTGGTCGGGCGAGGTGGGAGCCAGCACTGTCCATGAGGCACCGATTGTCGTGGCCACCAATGAGCTGCCGCCGGCTAGGAAATCAGATCACACCGACATCCCAGAGGGCATTAAATGTGAGTCTTGAGATCGGTATTCGTCTTTCGGCGGTATTTCCGAGGGTTAAGAAATGAGTCGCAAATGAATCTTTTTATTAACTGCTTGAGTTGGTAAAAACATTTTTATTTGATCCTTAGTTGGCACCACAACTCAATGATATTAGATATTTTGTTTTGCTCTTTGATTAATTCATTTGACGGTGACTTTCTGCAAACCCATACAAACCCAACAGTTTACAAAAAGAAAAAATAACGTATACATTAAAAAAAAATAGATAACAATGCAATTCAATTTGGAATTATTTACAATCCGTTGTACACGGTAACCTGCCATTTTTTATCAGTAAATTTGAGCTTAAATCATAATCGCATTTAGTGTTTGGCATTTATTAGCGGGTAGGACTGTGGGTATTCTCCTTAGCCAAAGCGCTAATGACAATTCAAAAAAGTTCCATAGAAGCTGGGCTTTCATTGCATATTCAAAGTAGGAAAACCATATGCAATGGATAGATTGTGACTTTCGGTAAGGACCTAAACAGGATCAATTCACCTGTTAGTTTTTTTGACTATTTTAATTTTTTCTGCTTGAAAAGAAAACCTAATTATTTTTAAAACAGTTTTTAAAGATTTTTCTGATTTTTTTATAATACTATACCTTTTTGGCATGAATGTGTTGTAATATTTTGCAGATCCACCAGTTGAAGTTGGTCAGCCACTTGTTGCTGATCCGTCAGTTGTTGCGGCAGCGCAGGTGGAAGTGCAGCAACCAGCGGCTATGCCCACCATATCGACGACGATTCCTCAAACAAGCAGCATTAACATGGTGGTAGATGCCACGCCGCTCTTCTTTGCGCCGACCTCCAGTTCCACGGTTGTAACACATTCGGTCCCAGTGACAACGGTGGGGGATTCCACCGGTGGAACCGACAGCAATGCATTTGGAATTTTTCCAGAAATCCCAGAGACCAATCTTCCAGCGAACGAACCCGTTCAGCAAATGCCATCCGCCAATACGTCTAACATTTCGATGTTTGGCGACATGCAGGATTTCATTGACAACACCGATGTGGCCGCCATATGCACTATACCGGCGGATGATATGCCCGTGGTGGATGGTGATGATATTGTGATCGATAACAACAACATGAGTATTGATTTTGATGCCGAGAATCTGTTCGAGGACTTCGAGGAGGAGGACGATGCGGTGGGCGAAGAGGAGGGGGAGGAGGAGGAGGAAGAGGAGGATGCCGACAACGATGACGAAAATGACAACAATGATGCTGCAACGGATCAGAATTTGCTTTTGACCAGCGACGATGACGATGTGGATGACTTCGATGACGAGCAATCGAAGCATCTGCAGAAGCCCTACTGCATTTACTGCAACAAGAAGTTTACCAGCCAGTACAAATTCGAAAACCACATGTTTGTCCATCGCGGTGAGTCACAAAAGCCACTTGGCTCAGTCCACCTAATACTGATACATCATCATTTCTGATTTTACCATCAGGCCTAGCACCCTATCGCTGCGAGCTGTGCACCAATCTCTACAACATGAAGCGACTGCTCATCAGGCACTACAAAACCGTGCACAAGCGTATGCCCACAAGAGACATGGTCCAGGCCAAGGGCGATAAGGTGTCCGTGCCCCGAACCAACATTGAGACGCTCTGCGTTGGCAGTGCCAAGAGTAAGTTCGTTGCTGGAACTTTATAGAATTCACACCTTAAGCCATTTATCTCTGCTCTTAGAACCCATGCTTATGTGCGCAAAATGTCCGTTTGAGTGCGAATCAGATGCGGACATGCGAAAGCATTTGAATGCCCACCACGGCATCAACGATGGTGGTAAGTCAAGTAATTGTGCATTAAATTTAACGATTTCACAAATTTGGCACACTGTAATGGCTACGCCAATCAATTAAAATGAATATGTTATCACTAAAAGTGTTGTTATATTATTTTATTAATATATTATCTGTTGCTTTCAGTGTCTGTGCATGCCAACGAGGTGTTTATTATACGCAGTAAGTAATTATGTTGTCTTTTTATATTTTTTTGACATCATAACTTTATTCTAATTTTGGAAAAATTTAACATTAAAATTTAATTTTCGTAATTTCGCCACAGAACTACCCTTCGAGTGCCCACGCTGCATTCGATCGTTTGCGGCTAAGAGCACTCTCAGCCGCCACCTGCAACGCAGTCACCTGGTGGACACAATTATTGAGACGCAATCGCCGAATTCGGCGGCCACCATCACAGCCACCGAAAATCCGGCCGTCGAGGATGGTAAACTCAATCTGATGATGCCGACGGACGGTGGGGCTGAGAGAATGACGACGGCTGACTCAGAAGGCAATGGCGGTGGCAATGGTAAGAGCCTCAATAGCCTTGCAACAAGATTGAACTCAAATTCCCATTAAAACTATGCCCAACACCCGCGAACGCACCATACGATTGATAAACTAAAAATGCTGTTTGACATCCGAACAACGATCGTTGTTGATGATTGTTGTTCTTCTCACCAGAAGGTGGAGGCGGAGATGATGGATCAGCATTAAGAATGGAGCCGGCAGTGCCAGAGGAAGAACTCGATCCAGTGACACTGGACGCAGCCACAGCGGTGACGACAACAGCAATTGAGGCAGCAATAACAGCGGCAGCAGCAGCGGAAGCTACATCCTCCGGATCACCCACCACAACCACAGCCCCATCGTCAGCCAACCCCTTCCCCACATTTGACATGTATTACGACATCATGGGGGACGCCACCCAGCAAGCGACCCAGCCAAATCTCCATGCCATTTCCAAAGTCACCAGCACGGATGCTTCATCGCTCAACGGGAGCGATAAACTGCTAGACACGTCCGCCGCTCTGGCTGCATTGCCATCAAAGGCGTTGCGCTCCAATTCCCGTCTGCCCCGCGGTCCCGTTTACGTGTGCAAGCTGTGCACCAAGGCCTTCGACGAACTGGGCAAGCTGGTCAAGCACGAGATGGAGATGCACTCCAATACGGAGCGGGCGCGGTGGGGCTTCCAACACAAGTGTGCCATTTGCAATACCTCCTACCGCACGCTGACGCTGCTTAAGTTCCACATGAAGCGGCACGCCCATCGGAAGCCCTGCAAGCTGTGCCCCAAAACCTTTGTCACGAACGTGGAGCTGGAGCGGCACACGAAGGCCAAACACAACAAGGACAAGACGATACGGTGTTCGTTTGAAGGCTGCCGTATGATGTTCGCCTTCAAACACCACATGGTTCGCCACCAGAACGCCACCCATCGGAGAACGCCGCCGCGGCACAAATGCCATGTTTGCAACAAGGAACTAGTGAACAGTGTGCAGCTGAGAAATCACATGAGCGAGCACAAGGACGCGCTAACGTACAAGTGTCCAGAGTGCGATCGCACCTATTTGCGGCGCGGAAGGTGAGCCGATGACGTTTTATATGGCATTTTCACATCTAATTCCCTATTCCCTATGTAGACTTCAAACCCATATCCTCAAGGTCCACAATATCCATCTAAACGACGAAGAGATGCCTACCCTCTCTTCAGTTAGTGGCACTTCTACCAATCCGCACGACGACGAAAAGGAAAGCGAGGAGGAGACCGCAACTGATGCCGCAACCGCAGCCAACAATTCCAAGTAGTTTCAATTCATGCTCTCATTAATCAAGCAAAGTAATCGCACAATGTACAAAGTTTAATATAGTCTAAGTACTGTTCCTCATCCTTGATTTAGCACATCTAATGTCTTGAGTTTTTCGATTTTAAGTTGTAGATTATGCGCATTAATCCTAAACTCTCATTTAACATAAGCCGAAAATATAACAAAAATTGGTTGAATCTGTCGATCTATTGATTTGTACAAGTGAAATAATCAATCAATTGTCAAGTGAAATTATCAATTATATTATAGAATCGCCTTAATTGTTAAATATCGCACGAGGCCCCAACCACGACTGAGGCAATCTCCACCAGCTGGCTCTGCTTTGGCCAAAGAGGAAACAGCTTCACAATTAGTCTTAACGAATCCTATATCATGTATTTTTTTTTCTCATTTCTAAGGGACTTCCATGATGAACATGTATTTTATATATCTGCGAGCAATAAATGTCCTTAATATATTAATATAATATCATTTAGTTTATCCTTTCCATGAGTTATAACAAAAAAAAAATAATCTTTGAAAACAATCGATGTGATACATCAAATATATATATATTACACGTTTAAAATAAAACTAGGTTCGAGAGAAAAATTTGAATATTACTAACCATCGGTTCGCAAAGGTCAAGGAACCTCCTTCTTGAAGTTGTTCCACTTCCAGCACCACTGATTCTCTAAGCTGAGTAGCTGCTGGTAGGACACAAAGTCATCTCTGGCGAACTCCTTCAAGCGAGCCAACTGAATCATGGCCTCGTCAATGGAAATGATAGGACCCAGCAACTGCACAGGCGAAGGCTCATCATCATCATCATCGTCCCTGTTCGAGATGGGTTCGCTCTTGACCAGGACGGCCTCAAATTCCTGAAGCTCCAGGCTGTCACCTGTGGCATTGTAGGCGATGTTGTGCCTGATTCGCCATTTCTGCAGCCATCCGGACGAGGCCAAGAATCCGTCGTGGCCCACTTCCTCCGCTATCTGCTTGGCCTTTTCCCGCACCATCTCGCCAGATATGGCGATATTATCGACTCTGGCTCTGGAGAACCAGTCAAAGCACAGCTCGTCGATCTGGGCGCCCTGCTGGCTAAGGGGATTCCTCCGCATCTGGCTCATTTTCAGTTCTCCGGTTGTCAATCCTTCGCGGATTGAGTCTTTGTGTTTCAGAATTTCAGCAGCTTGGGTTTTTCCAATGTTAAATCTGCATGGACTCGAAATTATTACTTATTTATGAGTATCCACATCGTTACCTTTTCGCCAAATCCCGCACCGTTAGTTTATTCTGCTCATGGGTCCGGATCACTTCCATTTTCTCTTCCAAATTAAGCCTTTTCTTTGGTTTCCTGGGTCGTCGCGGTAACATATCCATTGACCAACAGCAGGGGACACTTTCATTTGCTAAAGTTAGTACAACACAATTGCAGAAATAATAAATTTCCTTGTCCGCTCAAGGGAGTGTCTGTCCGTTTGTCATATACATTTGGTGAAGTGTGACCAACCGAGCAGTGACAGTGGCGTAAGCTGTATTTAATATATGGGGATATATTTCAAACCACCAAATGTTTTTTTGCTTGTGAATGGTATATGAGTAAAATGATTTTGAAAATTTTGCACACTTTTCTGTCAGGGGAGGGGCTAACATATTAAATCCCCTTTGCATGCGCCCCTGTTACTCAAAATAAGCCACAAAAACAAGCCGGCGCAAGAACTTTTTGCAACCCACAGACGGTCACACTATTTTTAATCACAAAAGAGCGGTATTAAATACACATTGCCAGCCCAATATATTTTTGAAGCACCACAACAAACTTATAATCAGCCGGAGAGAAGTACCTGTTCCAGCCAAAACGGAGCGCCATGGACGCCGCCACATCCGCAGCGGATCCCGCGCTGGTGGCCATGAACAAGTTGAACAAGGGTTCCAAGTGCCGAGCATGTCTGTCGGTGGACCGAAAAACCGTTCAACTGAGTGCCGAGATTCCAAATCTGCAGAAGTCCCGCACCTACGCCCAGAGCCTGAAGCAGTGCACCAACCTGGACCTGCGTGTCATCAGTCCCGGTGGCTACCTGTGGCCCATGCAGATCTGCGTGCGCTGCTGCCGCGCCTTGGAGGTGGCCATGCACTTTGTGGAGATGGCCCTGGAATCGAATCTCAAGCTGTATGCCGAGGCGCAGAGCGTGAAGCTGCCCAGTCCCAACGGCGAACTGAAGCGCAAGGCCAGCAGCGAGACGCTCCACTGGAATCAGTTTAGCCAGGAGTTCGAGCAGTTCGTTGAGGGCTACGAGGGTGTGACGACGGGACCCATCGAGGAGAATGTCCTGTACATGCGAGGAGCGAAGGTGCCACGACTGGATGTCGATGCGGCGAACAGCAAGAAAACGCATAAAGAAGATGAAGGTGGGTTCATCTTTTGATTTAACTTTATGTCTGCTCATATTCCCTTTTCTTTACCCACCTAAAAGTCATCCTTTTCGATGTCAAGTACGACACCAACGATCTGGAGGAGGAGGACGATAACGACGGCTCGGATGCCAAGAATAATGAGACTTTCTTCGAGAGCAGTATTACGTCTGGAGATGCAGCTATTGCCGCCACAGTGCACAGCAGCAAAAACGGCGAGAATAATAACAATTATAATTTCAATAACAAAAACGGCGATATTTTGGATGTCGAGTGCGATCTTATACAACGCGCTCTTTACATGACACTAAACGATGAAGGCAGCAGTCAAAGTCCGAAAAAGGAGAAGCCCAACAGTGAAAATCATTTAAAATGTAAGCTAAGAATGAGATGTGTCTATTTATTATAAATATTTTCTGCATTATAGCCGGTGGGGGAAATGGTCCTTTGTCACCTTTGGTCCAGGAGGCCACGACCAGCAGCATGGTGGCAAACATACCACTTCTGAAATGCAATATTTGCCAATATACGCATACCGATGCGGAGCAGCTGAGAAGTCATTACAAAAGTATTCACAAAATATCTATGGCCGAAGATGAAATAATAGGCTTAAACAAAAGTGAGTAGCTTCTTACAATATCATCTTTGTGCATGTTTAAGAGAGTATTTTATTGTAGATCAAAATTTCAAGTGCCGACCTTGCAATAGTTATGAGACGAAAGACAGGAATGAAATGCAGAAACATCTCATAGACCACCATAAAATAGATGGTGATTTTGGTAGGCGCAAAGATTGTGCTTAAGAGAACCATTCTTAATTGTTTGTATCCTACAGAAATGTACTGCTATATGCAGGCAAACTGTCCAGCCTGTGACAGGATATTCAAGGATCAGCGGTCGGCTAGGAAGCATTACACAAGGGTGCACACTCCGGTGCAGGTGGTGGTGTCGCCCACGGAGACATACGCTTGCAAGGTCTGCGAAAAGGTGTTCAACCAGAAGGCCAGCCTCCATAGCCACCAGCGATTCTGTCAGGTGAAGGATTTCGTCCACTGCACCTTCTGCGCACAGGAGTTCGGCAGCATGCGAAAGTATGAACTCCATCTGCAGCAACAGCATGCCGTGGAAACTCTGCACGAGTGTGAGATCTGCCACAGGAGCTTCAAGAGCGCCGACACCCTGGCCATGCATCGAAAGCGGCACTCTGAGCGGCACTTTCAGTGCGACAAGTGCTCGCTGAATTACGTTAACTCGGCGGAGTTGCGGGTGCACTACGAACGGGCCCACGTGAACGAGGAGCAGGTGAGCTGCCTCACCTGCGGCAGCCAGTTTCAAAATGTGACCCTGATGCGCGAGCACGAGCAGAGGAGTCACCAAAAACCGAAGGTCTGGCGCTGTGAGGTGTGCAACTTTGAGACGAAGAACAGGTGGCAAAGGCGTCAGCATCAGTACGAGCACAAGGAATACCCGTACAAGTGCCAGAACTGCACCGGCGAGTTTGCTGATCGCAGCAAGTAAGCAATATTTTCTAAGCTTCCACCAGAAATTCATCACCATGAAACTTACAGATTCCGGCAACATTCCAAAAAGGTGCATGGCATCGAGCTGAGCGACGAACGGCTGGCCGAGATGTTTCGCGAGAAGAAGGGCTACACCAATCGACACGATGCATTCAACAGGTCAAACAACTCTCTGGAGATTCCCGGCTTCACGGAGGACTGCTTCACGGAGTTGAAGAGCCTGGGCGTGGACTACGACGACATAACCACGGATCTCTTTGCGAGCTCCACCGCCCTGGACAACCTGCTTGACCTGATACCCTAAAGCGAGCGCCAATCCATCAACCTGCATAGAATTTACAAAATCAAACGGCACGAATAATAGCTGACGAGAGCTAGAAGACTGTCTGCACTTTACAAATCACCCTAACCGACAATGCATTATACATATATCAAACCTTTTCAGTTCGAACAACTTTTTTGCTCAGAGAACTCAGACCAAAACGTACATTTTACATGTATCCACAGTGAAACCATGATATTTTTGAAGTCACAATCTCAATAAACAAGAAAAGGAAACCAGCGTTTCTGAAGCGCACAAAATTCTCTCAAGTTTCGATTTACACTCTGAAGGAGTTTTGTATTTAAACTATTTCAATTGCAATAACTAATTAACGCCCTGGATGAATTTTGAGAGAAAGTCGGTGGGTTTGGGTTCCTGCGACTCCTTCCAGTAGCGCATGATGTGGCCCTTTTGCTTCCAGATCTCCACGGATTCTTTGAGCTCCATTTGGCCCTGGGTAAAGAGGGTGAGTTACAATCCATTCGAATCTTTGCCGGAGGGTCTTACCTTGATGACCAGCATGTCGATCACCCGGATGTCGGTGACGCTGCGATTCTTGACGAACTCCTCGCGCAACTTGTCCCGGCACTGCTCCACGGTCATGGGGATGTCGTAGTCCATGACTGCAAGTAACAAGAACGGGTTATTTGGCGTCGGGATGCAGATTCTGATGACATAACCAGGAGCACTCACCGATATAGGGAATCTGGCGGTACCAGGCCTTGTACAGATTGAGGGCGCGCTTGCGGGCCTCCTCCCGATCCACGGACAGGATGGGGCGCACCTGCTGCACGACTCGCTTCACGGCTTCACGTCCGGCCATTTGATTTGTTTTTATTTTTTCTGTTTTTCCTACGACCGAAGTGCTAGCAGCAGAACAGTGTGGCCAGGTTTTACTTGCTCACAAAACCAATATTTCAAATAAGTTATTAGGGGTATTAGTTAAAATTTGGTCAGCTGTTCATAAACTGTTTTATGCAATTTCCATTTTCAGAAATAAAACGAAAACAAAATTAGAGCTGTAAAATTGCTTAAATAAACAATTTGTTTTAATGGCACAAGTTCAGCAATTCAAATACAAAAATGTATAGCCACTTTTACGGGGTGGCAACGCCTCAGCTTCACCCAAGCTAGCAGTCTGGCAGCACCGCCACTTTGGCCAAAGATTGACTCTTAATTAAAACGCAGATGAAATGGCCAGCGATTTTCCGCCTTTGGCCATCCGGATTTGGATGCACAAGCTGAAGAAGGGCGTGGGTCAGCCGGCGGCTATCCTGGAGCGCTCCCTGCTGAACTTCATGAGTGCAGGTGAGTGGCCAATGCAACTGGCTGGACAATGCGAACTAATAACAAATTAATCTTTGTCCAGGGGCGGCCAGTTTGTCGGTGGAGAATGCGACGGAGCGGGGCATCCTAGTCCCGAGGGCAGTTGGCGGAAGAGCCAAGCGGCTGACCCTGACCTTCTGCCAGAAAGTCAGCAGCCTGCCCATCTCTAAAACTGATACCTACTGTTTCGAGTGCCATTTGCCAGGAGAGGTCATGGAATGCGCGTCCTGTGAGCGCTCCTTCCACGAGGATTGCCAACGCAAGGATCCCGAGAAGCCCAACTATTCGGTGCCGTCGGACAAGGGTCAACCTTATCGGTTCCCAGTCAACGAATCGGACACGGAGCCCGAACACAACCAAAATTCGAATGCGAGCCAGACGTCCACGCCAAAGCCCCTGCTCGATCACAATAGCAACATCAATCAGGATTTACTAGCCACTCCGGAATTTCTCAAGCACGAGAGTCCCGAGTGGGACGACGATGTCTTCTTCGTGAGCGAGCAGAAAGGCGCCCGCCAGCGAAAGCAGGCCGGGATCAAGAACGAACTGCAAAGCAGCCTGGACTGCGATGAGGACAGCGATCTGGGGCGCTGCACCCGCTGCCGGCTGCTTTCCCTGGCCGCCATTCACAATCCCCCGCAGCTGGACAAACAGGAACTAGGCTGCCTTTTGAAATACTCCTGGGACAAGCATCACTCCTGGATAACCATGGATGTGGCCAAATACATGGACAAGCACTGGAACGAACGCGACAAGGCACTGGTCAAGCGCGTTCTCTTCAAGTCAAAGATCTTGGGAATGGCCAACATCGAGCGGAATATCGAGACGAAGAAGTATACGTACCTAACAGAGTTCCTGGTCGATCTGCTCGATCTTCAGCACAACATTGCCGTGTTCTTTGGACCCAAGAGTGAGGAGTACAATGCCACAAAGTGGCTGGTGAGAGATGTGGCGCACGACATCCGGGAAATACGACGATGTCCCGACTGCTTTCGGTACTCCAACGAGGCTAGTCTGTCGGATCTCTGGTTTGCCAAACCATGCCTCCAGAGGCACGAATTGGTCTTTGCCAAACAAACAGGTTCGCCACCATGGCCGGCAAAGGTGGGTAGCCAAACTTTCTCAAGGCAGTAGATTCCTAATTCAAATTAAGTTGAGTGACACTTTCAACTCGACTACTTAATCTAAGTTTTATCTTCTATAAATTTATAGTATGTGTTCGTTTTTACCAGGTTATGAGCGTGTCCAAAAAGCATCCTATTAAGTACGATGTACGCTTTTTTGGAGGCTCTCATTCCCGGGCACTCATTTCAGAACGTGACATCACTCCCATCGAGTCGGACATTCAGTCGCACATTAAACCCCGCAACTCGAAAGCCCTGAGCGCCGCTTTGAGGGAACTGCAGTGCCACATGATATTGTCCCACTATTCCGCTTCGCTATTCGGCTTCCATGCCAATCCCACCATTGCCAAGAATCTCATACAGATAGCCCTGTCGCATTGCACGGAATCATCGGAAACCGCCACGGCTACCAAGCGAAGAAGGCCGTCCACTCCGGCCAATCCAGGCACTGCGAAGAAGCGAAGGCTTAATCTCACCACTCCGGATGCCCCATCGCCGGTGCCAATTCAAGCAACGAATCCTGACTCCGTTACCTATGATAATCTAACCGCTGAAATACTGCAGGCACACGAGAATCTGCTGAAGTGTCAGAGCGAGCTGACCGCCATGCAAAAGAAACTGGATGAAGTCAAGCGGAAGCGGTGGTGCTACCACTGCCTGGAGGAGGCCGCCTTCGACTGCTGCTTCACTGCGTCCTACTGCAGCGCGGAGTGCCAGCGACGCGATAAGAGACGCCACCAGGCCACTTGTAGAGTCAATCACCTAAAATAAGCCACATGTTGAAAGCAAATTCGAGATATTTATTAATGTCGTTTTCTGAAAATGGATTACTTTCAATCCAACGTGATAAAATCTCGTTACCCACAATCCCATGTATCGTTTTGTAAGATACTCTAAAGTATTCCAAGAATTTCTGTAAACGTAATATATTAAATGAACGTAATGGTTAGCTAAATCGGATTTCGTCATTTTGAAAAGCGCGCCTTTGGTTTTCTCATGATGGGCAGCACTTTGCCCAGTAGATGGCGCCTCTTTATCTTCAAAACTACAAAGACATGATTAAATTTTAAAAACATAAAAGCATCGCTACTTTAAGGTAACAAAATTAATTTGAAATTTATCAATTTGATTCATTGTAACTACCAAATCGGTAAAAACTTTCTGCGAACTGAGATAGTGCACTTTTAATACCATACTAAACTGCAGCAGCACTTTATGCTTACATTTAATGCTAATCTAGTTAAAAGCATTAAAATAGCTTTAGATATTTTGTTCGAAATTTTAAAGCTAATGTAACCTGCTCCCATTATGGACAATTACGCTCTGGCAAACGTGTTTACCCCGCAGTTTCAAGCTGTAAACAGGCAAAAAGTTCAGCCAAAAGGTCAAATCGAATTGGCGAAACGCTTAAAAGGGTTCAATGCAATTTACGAGTGCAGGCGAGCATGTGAATGCATCAGATACGAGGGAGCGATCGAGGGGCTTGCCTTTTATGAATGCAGGCCGGCGGGAAAATGGCCGTTAAGCGGTTATCCCAAAATAATTGATTTATGCCGGGTTCAGCAGACAATTTTGGGGGCCAGTCCCCAAATGGAAATGGCCACAAGAGTTGGCACCTTGCGCCGGCACAGATAGAAATACAAAATACATGGCTGTAATAAATATTTCACTTAGGGGCCGAAAGTAACATCACAACACGATTAATGCTCAGTCTGGAGTTTCGAGTTACGGGTTTCGCTCGGTATTCGTATTCTGTTCCCCAAAGTCGGAAGTCACGTTTAAACGTTTTCGCTAAAAGTTTCACACAGCGGATGATTGATGATGAGCCGCACAAAGAGTATTACTTACCTACATGTGCACGGAATATATGGTCATTAGGACTGCCTTGTTTTTATCTTTGACTCGCTTTAGTGCACTCTCGCACTCGATATAGTAAATCATTTTTGGGATATTTCACCCTGCCACTTAATTAAGCCAGAAGCTGAATCAATAACATTCTCTTCCATTTCCTTTCCCATTTAAAGCAAGTCATCATTGTTTGTTGTCTAAATGTTTATTCAACATTTTTGGCCTGTGGCTGAGATGTGAAACTTTTGCATTTTGCAATCAAAATCTCTGTCACACGAATGTCAATATTTGGGTGAAAATTTGGCAAAGAAAAGCAGACAAATTCCATGGGCAATTAGGAAAATGCTGTCTTTTTGTCGAAAACAAACATGGTTTTTTTTGTATTTTCCTCTGTCTGCTTTCATTTCGAATTGTGTTTTAATTATGTGCAAACTTCAGGGGAGTTTTCATTTAAAACTGCCTGCTTTCTATTACAAACTCCCTGACAAGACGAAACATTTTTCATCAACTCGTAATCAAATTAGTCGCCTGCTAATTTAAACTGCACTAATTTGTCTACATCACGAAGTGAGTTTTCCCTCGGCTGAAGTGAGTATCTTCGGGCTTATCGCTTACCTTCCAGGTTGTCAAAAGGCGCAGGACTCCAAGGAATTTTGTGACAGGCAGCAAGGATTTATTGGCCCAACGTTGCCTGCCTACAATTGCCAACAAGTGCAGAATCCTCTTAATTAATTCCTTTGCGCCAGGCGAAAAGCTGTCAGACCTAAAAGCAAAAACATGTGAAGCGATGAGAGATGTTGGGGAATATAGTTGAGTTTGCAACTGGAATTAATTTGTATTACTTACTAAATACGCTTAAGAGTTATAATGTCTACATACTTGGATTCTAGTTACGGTTACTGGTTTTCATTTTATACTTATTGTCAAAAGCAAATTTTTATTTATATTCCTTTCCACTATTGAATTAAAGTTGTTTTTGAAACAGAATTTCAAAGAAAATGTTTAAAATAAATAAACTTTTCACCACATGCACACATAAGTGAAAATTGTTGTAAACTATAAAAGAAGACATTTGATTTATTCATTTTAATTTAAGCTTTGTAATAGAGTTTTTAAATAACAATTTTTTTATTTATAATCCAACGTCTCTTGGGCTCAACTTTTTTAATTCTTAAAGAGTCCTAGTCAAGTGTCCTCTGGTGCACAAAAATATAATTTTACTTATAAACTGGTATACACGTCTTGTGTTTCTTTAGTTTTTCCTGGCTCCAATTTTCCAGCTGCTGCCAGTTTAAGCTCCAGTGAAGCTGCTGCTTTTTGTCCCTAGCCTTGACTTGAACTTGACCAATGCCAAGGATATCGTTTGTTGGCGCCACCCACCCATCGTCCTTCGGCAACAGCTGCGCAGAATTAAATCATTTACGGGGGGAGGGATGGGAATGGGAAACAGCACTCCAGACAGGCCATGAAATGCAATTTCAGCCGCCAACATGTGGAAAATGCTGTTGCTTGTAAAATTTTTTGGCATGCGACAAATATTTCCCACAATAAGGGGAGCCAGAACTTTAATTTATGTGCAGTGACAAGTGCAACTGCACGCCCCAACGGCAACAACGAGCTGAAACGAGCAACGAGCAACATGCAACACCCAACCAGCAACATGCAGCGAATATTGAACAAAACAGATTGCATTTGAGCAGCTTCCCCAGCGAATAGCAAGTAAATGAGTCTATATTATGGACTCCCAAGAGGCGGAATAATAACCATTGAGAATTTAGATGAAAAGGCCTCGATTTGTGAGGGCGTGTAATTAAAATACTATGCTAAACCGTTCTGGAATTCCATCAGCAAACTGACAAAGTGTCAGAAATTATGCTGATTTTATTTCTCTTTTTATGAACATGCGTCATTTGGGTTTGGGTTTGGGTTTGGGAGGTCTTGCATAACCGCAACGAACTTTGAAAATGAGTCGCAATCTGGGTGAGGGCCCCACCCAAAAGTCCAAAATTCTGATCCGCCATCAGTGAGTCAGATTTGGCGACCCTGTTAAGTCGTTTATGGTTTAAGACAATTCCGAAGAACCCAAAACTCAAGAGTCAATGGCCAAAAGTTTTGTGGCCCAAGAGAGGTCATAATCCAGCGTCAATATTGGCCAAAACTATAAAAGATATTTGCATAATTCATTGATTTCATTATAGTAAGTTTGAATATATTACTATATTCACATAACTACATATTTAAAGTAAAACTAAACAAGAAAGTAATAAAATTGATTAATAGCTTTAAGTAGCTTGTTTACCAACAAAATGCCTTAATTTTTGTAAGTCAAATTAACTTAAATATATAACATTAATTGTTCCCAGCTAATGGAAACAGAAGCCACTTTTAAGTGCCATAATTTTAAATCACCAAAGTGTTATAGCTCTGCTCATAAATGCTTTCTTTCCTGCAAATGATTTAATTTTTTCATTAATTAACATGCTAATAGGAGTTGACTTATCATTCCCCTGTCAAAAATAAAACAAAATACAAAAGCCGAAGCCATTTCCATTTCCTGTTTTTTTTTCCCCACAACTTTAACTGCAACTTTAGCTTTCGAATTTCTTTTAAAACCAATTATCAAATCATGTCGCTGCCGGCTGACAAACTCATTTATTTTGCTCGCTGCACTCAAATATGAGACAGACCCACATACATCATACTTGCACTTGGTGTGGATCTGGAAATGGATATGGACATGGCACTGGGAAAACCCCCTTATCCCACTCGTGGCCCCCACTCTTTAAATGCAACCTAATTTTGCTTTCGTTTCCACACATGCAACTACACGCGATGGCAGAAATGGTTTGTTTTCCTTGAGAAAAGTTGATCTGCCCTTTCCACTCAGATCCCCAACTCATAGACCACAATACCACAGCCACGACCAAGACCGAGACCCAGATCCAGATCCACATCCAAAAAAGTGTCAAACTGTCGCCAGGGCCTGAAATTGTCATTACTCAGTGTCCATTGCCTCGTTTACAGGTTTGAGAATTACATTTGAAAAACGAGGAAAATGGTGTGGATAATTTCCCACTAATTTAAATGTGTGACAATTAAATTTGTAGGTTTCTTCTTTTTGACTCTCAATTAGCTTCTTTCACGAGGAAAAAAACTCAACTCTGCTAGAAGTTAATATGCTATTTTATATAGAAAAATATTTAAAAACTTACAACTTTGTCGTAATTTTGTGCACTTTCAGCTATATACATCCTATTTATATAAAGTAATTCGATTCTTTAATTTAATTATTAGTTCTGACACCGAATATAAAGCAGTAAATTTGAAAACTTGATTTTAAATTCTTCTGTCAGTCACAACTTGTTTTTCTGTTTTTCTTCATTTTCAATTGATTATATTTTTGCAATCCGTGCTATTTTTTTCTTACTTACGTTGGCGCTCAAAATACATCAGCATAAATCATCGCTTAGCGCCACAAAAAAAATGAGAAACAAGAAAGAAAGCAAACTTCGGCAAGCCGAAGTTCATATACCCTTGCAGCTATTGCATGAATTAAATACTTTTGAAAATATTTAAATTATGATTTACTTGAGTATATGCTGAAAAACATTGAAACTATGATGATTTGCAGCTCAATTATAAGATAGTTATTTTATATATTTTTATTATTTCTATGGGAGCTATATGATAGACGTCCGATTTTGATAAAATTTAAACCATAATTCTGAAATAATTAAACATTGCTATATGTCGAAGAACTAAACAAAAAATTAAAAAACAGAAAAGTTATAATTTTTTTTTCATTTATTTTTCCGATTGTTCCTATGGGAGCTATATGCTATAGTCGTCCGATTTTGCTGAAAATTAAAACATAATTCTGAAATACTTAACCATTACTATATCTCGAAGAACTAAACAAAAAATTAAAAAACAGCAAAATTATAATTTTTTTTCATTTATTTTTCCGATTGTTCCTATGGGAGCTATATGCTATAGTCGTCCGATTTTGATGAAATTTAAACCGTAAATCGGAAATATTTAACCATTACTAAATGTCGAAGAACTAAACAAAAAATTAAAAAACAGCAAAGTTATAATTTTTTTTCA